TGAGCCCTGGCTATTATAGGCATTTGGGGAATGAACCGCAGATGCAAAATCGGTCTGTCTGTCTCTGTCTTTTGAACAAAAAATACAAATTTTTAAATACAGAGAAAATAAGCCTGAGGATTCGTTTTAGAAGAATGCTTCAGTAGCTAATTCTGACCAGTAGACACTGGCACTCAGGAATAACCCATTTGTATCCCTAACACAAATGACTAAGTCTATCCTCACTGGTTCATAGTTCAAAGTTCCACAACATCCCCTATTGATCTCCCAAACTGCTCTGTGAGCATATATTACCTGTTATGAACCCAGCAGGGGAAATGTGAAAGACTGAAATGAAAGAAAACTTCTTGGATGTCTTCAGTAGAAAATGAGTTTTTACTCTGTACTCCCTTGAAGATTTTCAGATTTTTTTTTTTAAGATTTTATTTATTTATTTGAAAGGCAGTTACAGAGAGGAAGACACACACACACACACACACACACACACACACACACACACAGAATCTTCTATCTTCTGGTTCACTCCCCAAATGGCCACTATGGCCAGGGTTGGGCCAGGCTGAAGCCAGGAGCCAGAACTCCATGTGAGTCTCCCACATGGGTGCAGGGACCCAAGCACTTGGGCCTTCGCTGCTGCTTTCCCAAGCACATTAGTAGGAAGCTGGATCAGAAGTGGAGCAGCTGGGACTTAAACCAGCACCCATAATGGAATCTGACATAGCAAGCAGCAGCTATACTGCTACGCCATGGCACTGGCCTCAGGTTTTCCGATTCTATGGAATCTCTGCATTGGTCACTGACTTTCAGTTATTTTTAACTCTGGGAGTTATAAATAACTTTTACCAATACAAATGATTGTTCATAGACAATAAATTTTGTCTTATGAATCAACTGATTTCCCCTTTCTGCTCTAGAAGAGGCCACTTTGGCCTCTATTTAAAATTAATTTCAGTATTCTTTAGTGCCTGTGTATGTGTGATTCTTTGAATGCTCCTTTAAGTGAGTTGTAATATCTTTCTCATTCCTTCATAAATTAAATAATTAAATAAGCATATTTGTCAGGACTTCATTATATCCATATGCATATACATGTACATGTACATACATGAAATATGTGATTTTACCTCTTAAAAATATCTTTTAAGAAATCATTTATTTATTATTGCCTTCAGCTTGATTAATATCCCCAACGTTAAATGCTTTCTCTGGCTCCCTCTACCTGACATAACTGATCTTCATAGTTTATGGACAAAACTAAATCCTAATCATGTCCTCAAATTATGAAGCCTATGACTTTCATGGAGAACCTATACTAAAATGATGCCTTAATTTACTTGACAACTATCTTTTCTTCGTTACAGTTCCTGGAAATGCACTTTTGCTTTCAATCAAGGATGTATCTAGTCTATTTTTATCTTATACCATTATTTAATTTATATTTGACTTATCTCTTCAATTAAGGTCTATGTTCCTTGAGAGGATTCATCTTAATTTATTTTCCTCTCCTCCTCTCCTCAGTGTCAACACAGTGTCTAATACACCCAGTAAATATCCATTGCTGGGTTCCATCCATCGTCCATGAACAGGAGCTCTCAATAAAGATTTTTTTTTAAATTTATTTGACAGGTAGAGTTGTAGATAGTGAGAGAGAGAGACAGTGAGAAAGGTCTTCCTTCCTTTGGTTCACCCCACAAATGGCTGCTATGGCTGGTGCGCTGCGCTGATCCGAAGCCAGGAGCCAGGTGCTTCCTCCTGATCTCCCATGTGGGTGCAGAGGCCCAAGCACTTGGGCCATCCTCCACTGCCTTCTCGGGCCACAGCAGAGAGCTGGACTGGAAGAGGAGCACCCGGGACTAGAACCCGGTGCCCATATGGGATGCCGGCGCCGCAAGGTGGAGGATTAACCAAGTGAGCCATGACGCTGGCCCCAATAAAGATTTTTTTTAAGTTAGCTTTTAGTTTGCTAAATTTTAGTTGAAGTTTCATTCCCAGAAAAATTCACATTAAACTTCAGTGAAGATGGTTAGGACTTCTGTGAGACACTAAACAAGGATTAGCCAGGAAGATAAGGAAATACGACTATATTGATGCACATTGTGAGTTTCCCCCTCAATCACTGCACTAGAACTGCTTACATCTATACTCCTAGTGCGATCCTACACAAGAGAGAATGTATTCAGTTCAACATTTAGTCTTTCTTAAATGGTTATTAATTGGCCATGGCAGATTAAGAATTTTTGACTGACCCTAGGGATTCATTTGCAAATAAAATAAAATTTCTCCCATCCAAGTACTAACCAGACCTGACCCTGCATACCTTCCAAAATGAGACAAGATTGGGCACATTCATGGTGGTATGGCCATAAACTGCAAATAAAAGAAAATTTCAAATCCAGGAGAGTTAGCTGCTAGTGAAGAAGAGGAGAGAAAAACTGAGGAAGAAGACAGAAGAGGGACACATTATTTTGACCTAAGTGTACATATATAACTGGTGAGAAGCCAAATCAAGTTTCTCATTATGATGCAAAATCCATCTCATTTTCAAATATTATGACTACTGACTCTTTAAACTCAATCTACTATAAGTATTCCTAATGGAATGATGAAATTTCAAACTTCTATAGATTTTTATTACCTTGATATACTTCTGAACAACATGCAATACCTAATGTGCTCTTACTATCAATTCAACTAAATGTGGACCACCAACAGATTGCTATGATTTAAATGCTGGGTTCTGAGAGAATAATAAATGACCTTGAAGTTGTTTTTAGCATATTTGATTTTATGAACCTACATTACCCGCTGACAAGTCTACCGAGTAAATTAAATTCTACTCTTTATAATGCCATATGAAGTCAGAGGACTTCATAATATTTCAGCATTTTTAGTGAACATTTTAATTTTATGGTTTTACTTAGTTACTTCCAATTAAAACTATCTGGAGAAAACTGCTACTGTAAAAACCCCAGTCTATTTTATCAATTTTATTTTTCTCATGGTGACTTTTTACTTTTATCTTTACTCCTAGAGGAACCCTTAGAATAAGTCATTTAAGATTCTATTCCACATTACTTTGTTAGTAAAGAGATTAGATAAACAAAAGCTTCACATATACAAATAAAATTTATTGCCTTTTTGTTGTTATTGATATATCTTTCAGTTTCATATATATGGGTGTAATTCAAATAATTAAATGAGAAATAACAAGCAATAACATAATGATAACATAATATTTATTTGGTCCTAAATATTTACACATGTATTTTCTTTGCAAATTCTCACTAGCAACTGATATTTTAGTTACAACTATTTTTTACATATTTAGGAGTCAAGAAAGATGTGACTTGCTAAATGTGGGTAAATGGGATTTTGTATGCTGAACACAAGTCCTCCAAATAAAAATTTTGTTTTTGTTCATATTTTTTTAAAAGAGCATTTAATTCACAAGCCAAATCCTTCTGGCACGACACTTTGTAAGAGTAAGTAAAACATACATGGAAGAACACTAAACATTTTTTTCTACAATGGCATCATACTGAAACTGAGAAGGACAGTGTACTTTCTAAATGGCCCAGTAAAATCTAAGGCAGAAGTTATTTACTTCTAGGGTCTGGACACTGTCAGTCAAAATCATTTGCTTACATTTTACTAACATGTGCTCTGTACCATGTTTCCATTCCTCAGACAAAATAAATATTGTATTCTCTATGAGTCTTATTGTTTACAGCATTCAAATTTCTTCTTTGCTCATTAAAAACATTAAAATAAACCACCATACAGCAAAGACATTAATATTTCACATAATTTCTTAAAGGTTTTTATAATGAAAAATATGCTAGCCAATGTTTGTATCTTTTATTTAACTTTATATGAGTATATAACTCTTTTCAATAAACAACACATTGGGGCTGGCACTTTGGCATAATAGGTTAAGCCTCTGCCTGAAACTCTCCCATTCAGGTACCCATTCAAGTCCCGGCTGCTCCATTTCAGATCCAGTTTCCTGCTAATGTGCCTGGGAAAGCCGCCTTAGTTGACCTAAGTACCCAGGGCCCTGCCACCCATGTGGGAGACCCAGATGAAACTACTGGCTTTGGCCTGGCCCAGTGCTGGCCATTGCAGATATATGGGAAGTGAACCAGGGGAAGGAGGATCTCTTTTTCTAGCTCTACCTTTCAAATAAATAAATCTCAAAAGAAAAACACAAAAACCCAGTATGTCAATATTTGTAGGAAATACAATTTTTATAGCTGTATATTTCAAGATAATACCACAATTTTATTGTTATTCTAATTCACATAATTTAACTGTAAAAGTGTTTATATTATATAGCCATATTTTTTAAAACTTGAAAAACAAAGGAATGAAACTACAACCAACAATTCTTCTTAATTCCGTATTATGAATTGCTCACTCTCTTCTGTTCTTTTATATGCCTCAATGTTTTCATTGAAGCAAACATGAACTTATATTTCATTTGTAATTTTCTAATAAATGTTGCAGCATGTAGTTTTTACAACTATCACCTAATATTTCCAAATACTAGATTCCTATAAAATAATTCAATAAAATCAGCTGTTATTATTCTCATTTTGAATAGAGGTGAGAAAAATGTAGAACAAATACGAATGTAGAAAGCATTCTGGTCTCAGTTTCTTATTAATCAACTCTTTCAGTGAATGTTAAATAAAGCAACAAATGCACAAGATACTGATTAGATTAGTGTGATTACGTTTCCCGTGGATTAGTGCGGCTTGACATAATCTGTCTTGAAAGGGCATATACCACATAAGAATATTCATAAATTATGATTTTTTTTCACCTAAAAAGTCGGTATCCATATACCTTTGTGATATAGTTTAGCTCATTTTCCCCTTTGAATCTTAGATGTAGTTACCGAAACACTTTCTGGAATTGCTTCTTTGGACATGCTCTGAAATCCGCATCAGGAGACAGCAGTTATTCGACACAAGGAAAGAGAAAATACCCCAACTTACCGTTTCTAATACATGTACACGGTCCTGCAAATAAACATAATACATAATTAAAAATCATTTCAAGTGTACTCAATTTCAGGCTATTAACCCTCCATTAATAGTAATTTATTTTGGAATTGTAAAGAATGAAAACTCCTACTCAGAATGATCTACATTAGAAAAAAAGCCATGAAATAATCATGATTCCCTTTCTCATTTTATACAGTATTAGGACTACAAGGTTTAATTTAACAGTAAATACCATAAATTTAGATCTAATTTCTGAAAGGAATGAGTCTTACCACTTTTGTACTGGTAAAATTACCTATTTATGTAAGGATATATAAATTTTAGATAGATTTGAATATATGAGACAGAATTAGAAAAGAGTATTGATATAGAAAAGGAATCCAGCACATGCACCAGCTATCCATTAGACATAAAGTAAAAATGTGTTCTTGCAGGAAGACAGATTTCAGAGGAAGACAACTTAGGGACAGGCATTTGGCCTAGTGGTTAAGATAGCGGCTGGGATGCCCACTTCCCATGTAAGAATCTGAGTTGCAGTCCCAGCTGTACTCCAGATTCCATCTTCCTGATAATGTGTACCCTGGGAGACAGCAGGTGATGGCTCATTGATTGGATTCCTTCCACCACATGAGAGACCTGAATTGAGTTCCAGGTTCCTGGCATTTGGGCAGTGAACCAGTAGATGTGAAATCAATCAATCAATCACTCTCTCAAGTAAGTTAAAAAATAATTTTTAACACAGGAAAATAAACAAAAATTTTATCAAGAAGAATAAACCCATCAATTAAAATTAGTAAGTAGGGTCTGGGCATTTAGCCTAGTGGTTAAGATACCAATACCCCACATCAGAATGCCTGCATTCAATTCCTCACCCTAGCTTTCTGCTTAGAGACACTGGGAAGGAGCAGTGATGGTTCAAATAATTAAATCGTTGTTTCACGTGTGAAAGCTCTAGATTGCCTTTCTGGCTCCTAGTTTTGACCTGGTCCATTCCTGTCTCTGTCCATCTGTCTCTGCCAGTCTCACTTGCTGTCTCTCTGCCTTTCAAGTAAAGTTTTAACAATTTAAGATGAGGGTCCAGCGCCTGCAGTGCATGTATTCCATATGGGTCCAGTTTGAGTCTCAGCTGCTTTACTTCCATTCCAGTCCTTGTTAATGTACCTGAGAAAGCAGTGGAGGATGGCCCAAGTGCTTAGGACCCTGCACCCATGTGAGGTGCCCGGAAGAAGCTCCTGGCTCCTGGCTTCAGCCTGGCCTAGCTGCAGCTATTTGGAGATGAACCAGCAGATATCTGTGAGTCTGTGTGTGTGTGTTTGTGAGTAACTCTTTAAAATAAACCAAATAAAAAATTATGTATATCATTATTAAAAACAAGACAGGAAAATAAAAGAGAAAGATATTCACATACAGCCAAACATGAATTGAGATAGCCCTTCATAATCTACAGAATCTTAGAAGGTTTATGGAAATAATGGTTTTAAAGCAGGTCATTAACAACATTGTTAAAATAATAAATGAATAAGAAAATGATTATATACTCAACTCAATAATCATATCCTCAACATTTTCCAGAGCTTACAGGTATAGAAGGAAGTCTTTATCAAATAAAAGAGAACAATTTAAGAGAGAACAGAGTATGAAGAAAACAGAAAAAAGCCTTTTTCAGAGGGTCAAGGTCACCTTTCTTTTCTCTCATTTTAAAAAACTAGAGGAGGGGCCGATGCTGTGGCATAGCAGCTAAAGCCGCTGCCTGCAGTGTCGGCATCCCATATGGGTGCTGGTTCAAGTCCCAGCTGCTCCACTTCCTTTCCAGCTCTCTGCTATGATGTGGGAAAGCAGTAGAAGATGGCCCAATCCTTGAACCCCTGCACCCATGTGGGAGACCTGGAGAAGAAGCTCCTGGTTCCTGGTTCCGGACTGGCACAGCTCCAGCTGTTGTAGCCATCTAGGGAGTGAACCAGCAGATGGAAGACTCCCTCCCTCCCTCCCTTCTCTCTCTCTCTCTGCCTTTCTTCTCACTGCTGTGTAACTCTGACTTTCAAGTAAATAAATAAATCTTGAAAAAAAAAAAAAAAGAAACTGGAGGAAATCAATGGGACTCTGAATTTTCTTGTTGTTGTTCAGATTAATCAATCAGTAATCCTAAATCAAAGGAGGAAACTAATGCAGAGAATGACTCACCCTTCAGGGACCCACATAGATTCCTGGTACTTGAGAACAGAATAAACTTGGCCATCACCTACATGTTCTCAGCTTCACCTACAACACCAGGGCTGACCTATGAGGACTTCGGCAAAACAAGTTTCACCTCTCTGGGAAACTGAGTTCAATATTTCTATCATGCAAACATTTGCCTATGTAGGCACGAATTCAATGAATATATTAGGCAAAAGCAGGCTATTCTTAGGAATATGAGGGAGCTTCAAAAAGTTCATGGAAAATACCTGTCATAAAAAATTACACATGGATTTTCAAAATTTTTATGCCAAAATAAACTTATCATTTAACTCCATTTTTTGACAAACTTTTAAAAATTTCTTCATATAATCTGTTTAATTGCATTTTGTTGGAATACTTGAGAGGACTTTGTTCTCCCATAATTTTCATAAAATAATTGCTATTTTGTCAGTAACATTTGAGTGCTTCATAATAAATGCATATGATGCCTCAAGAGGGCTTTGATCTGTTGTTACTGGGCATGGTACCCACAGCACATCTGGGACAAAACCGTTCAGCAATGCTTTATCATCATTTGCAGATTGCACAGAAGCAAATTAAATGCCATATACAGATGGAAACAGCCTTCGGGCAATATCACATTTTTTGTGAAACACCTTGGAAGGCTCAAAATATTTACAGCTCCTATTTGGGTCTTCAGTTTTCCCCAGACCATAGGTTTGTAGATTGAAATTATTTAGGATTACCATATTTGAAGAGCATGCACATAGTTTGCAGAAAATAGGGGATTTCATGGGCTGCAGGGCCGGAGTCGTGAGCAGTGGGTTAAGCTGCTGTTTGCCATGCTGGCGTCCCATGTTGAAACGGCAGTTGGAGTCCCAGCCACACCACTGCCTGATCCAGCTCTCTGCTCGGATTCCTGCCACCCACGAGGGAGACGGATGGAGTTCCCGGCTCCTAGCTTTGGCCTGGCCTGGATCTGGCTGTGGCAGCTATTTGGGGAGTGAGTTAGCAGATGGAAGATCCCTCTCTCTCATTCTCTCCTTCTCTGTCTCTCCTTCTGTCATTCTGATTTTCAACTAAATAGCTTTTTAAAAAGTAGATGATTTTGTATGATGACAAACAGAACTGAACTGAATTCTCTGTTGTAAGTCATACCTCAATTTTTGGCAAAGATAAACCAATCTTACTATAATTTATGTTGAATGTCTTCACTTTACCTAAGTGTTTCTTACATAATTAGAAGAAAATGTGCCCAGTCTATACAACCATGGATCCAAATGCCCAAAACAACCCCACTTGGTTAAAATCTATAAGTCAATAAATAATCTATTTGGGTGATGAGATGGCTTTTGCATGCCTGTAACCTACTTCATCCCAGAATGGTAGTGACACAACTTTCCATGAAAAATGAATAATTTTTCAAAGAATAGCAAATGAAGGAAATATGAAATTGAGTCCACTAACCTGTATTTTATTATTTCAATTTGCCAATCAACTTCAGCTAATAAGATATTTATCACTGTTGCCAATTAGTGAGCTTGGTTTAAATCATAGTATGGTACTAATAAGTGTAAACTGTAAGTAAAAAGAAACTATTCCTAGTTTTTTTTTGAAGTTATTACTTGATTTCAAAATTTAAGAAATGTATTTTGAAAATTTCAATGGTTATTGCTGACAGATTTTTAGCAGAGAGGATTAGTTATAAAAGAAATATAAATACATATATCTAAAAATGAATGAGGTTACTGTAACATCCTTATTCTCAAACTAAAAATTTGCATATGTCCACTTATATTTTTGTTATTAAAACAGAGGTAACATAAGTCAATATTGTGGCTCTGATAAAGTCCATAAAAAATGTGACTCTATACCACAGAATGAGCATATAATACACCAAAATAGTAACTCAGTTCCTCCTTAACCTTACCCATCCTACCTAGAGCTGGTTTCTTTCTTTTCTTTTTTCCCCTTAAATCTCCAGTTTTCATTTTAACACATTTTTCTTCAAGCTCAGCCTGTAGGTTCAACACTTTCTCCCCCATTCCCACTAACCCACAAACACATACACACACCCACTCACAAAATTTGGATTCAGAAAAAAATGGATTAAAACACGGAAAAGGGGTTAGGAGGTAGGAGGGACAGAGATGATAGAAGACCTGTAGAAGTAACAAAGTCACTTCCATTATGATCATGCAACTTCAGGTGGTTTTAATAAGTGGATGGGGCCACTACTGTGGTGTAGCAGGTAAAGCCACTGGCATCCCATATGGGAGCCGGTTTGAGTCTCAGCTGCTCCACTTGCTGTGGCCTGGGAAAGCAGCAGAGAATGGCCCAAGTCCTTGGGCCCCTGCACCTGCGTGGGAGACCCAGAGGAGGCTCCTGGTTCCTAGCTTCAGATCAGCCCAGCTTCAGTGGTTGCAGCCATTTGTGGAATGAACCAGCAGCTGCAAGACTTTGTCTCCTCCTCTTTCTCTCTCTGTCTCTCTCTCTCTCTTTGCCTCTGACTCTCTGTAACACTGCCTTTCAAACAAGTAAACAAATCTTTAAAAAAAAAAAGTTAGTGGCTCTTATTTTGTATCATGGACTATGAAGAGCACACACAAACAATGTTGCATATTCTTTTAGGACAAAGGTAGACTGTCTGCAACTTACTCACGTGCCTCAAGTCCTTTTAATCTGAATAAAAACACCTAAAATAAGATGCAAAAACATTACACAAATAAATTATTTTATTAAGCCAAATCCATGTATTTCTCTTTCATGAAATATTTCTAAATGCCACCTACAACAAAGAAACTACTGTGACTACAGAAGCCCAGGGCAGAAGTAAAAACATGAGACTCTAAATAGGAGTGGTGGGTTAAACAGAAATCATAGAAGAAATTTCCTTCAAATATTTGAAGAAAGAAAATTGTGTGTGGAGGTGAACTGTTTGGTTTCTATTGTTTTTTGGTGATTGGGTGATTTTATAGGTGTTTAAGAAACAACTATAAAAGCAACAAAAATTGATTCTAATGTGTCTTTTTCTTGGTGACTGCCCATGCAGTCAGTGCACAGTCACTGAGTTACAACAGTGATTGTTAATAGCTGCTCTTATCAATAAGTGGATGCCACATACAAAAATAATGTTGTTAAACATCGTGTTTTAATTTTTTCTGGGCTCCAAGATCATGTATGGAGACTTTTATTTTGGCCGTAGCTTAAAGTACACGCACTGCATGAAAGATGTATTTTAACTTCTTAGGATGAGGTTTGTAATTGCCTTGAGCTATATATACTCTTGCTACTTGCTCATGATGGCGTGGACATTAGAATTTAGAAATGAACCAAGGAAAATGTATTCGTTTCACTAGAAATGGGAAACTGTTTATAGGTTAAGTTAGGAAATGTGTACCAAATAGGTCATTGATATCTGGATACCTGATCATGAACAGTTGATTTGTTTCAGCTGAAACAATCAGATAAATTGATTCATGCATCACATCTAAGAAATGACTTAAAAGTTAACAAGCCTATCTAATCGGAATTATCCTGCCTCCGTTAAGTACAGTTGAACAGGTTTAGTGAATTTATCACAAATGCAGAATTTTCTGAGAATGTTTTCAATATTCATTAACATGTACTGGAACTGTGGCACAGAAGGCTAAGCCGCCACCTTTGGCACAGGCATCCCACATAGGTTCTTCTCCCAGCTGTTCCACTTCCGATCCAGCTCTCTGCCATGGGCTGGTAAGGCGGTGCAGGATGGCTCAAGTGCTTAGGCCCCTGGACCCACATGGGAGACCCAGAGGAAGGACCCACATGGGAGACCCAGAGGAAGCTCCTGGCTCCTAGCTTTGGATCGGCCCAGCTCTAGCCTGCAGCCATTTGGGGAGTGAACAAATGGATGGAAGACCTTCCTCTCTTTCTCCCTTTCTCTGTCTGTAACTCTACCTCTTAAATAAATAAATAATTTTTTAAATAAAAAAGTACAACACACACACACAAATGTAACAACAACCACTGACTTTTCCAAGTCTAAAAAGCTTAAGAGTACAGAATAATTCTGTAAACTTCTCTGGGACTGAAGGACAATGATGGGCATTAAATTTTCAAAAAGGACAATTCACAATGAAGTCTTCCCCCACACTGTTCTAGGAGCACCAAGCCTTTTTTCTCACTGAAAAAAAATCCACTCAGCTTCACCTAAAAAGACTACTGCATCACATTCCTCCTCCCAATGCCAACTCTGTTTAACCAGGAGGCTCACTTTACTTGTTACTTCTTACATCCAGGATATAGAATGAAATATAAATAGTATGCACATTTTTTCTCCAAGGCATTCCCAATGACAATCAAGTACCCTTAACAATTTGATTGTCTTTTTTAAAAATAATTCAAATAACTAGAACTAACTTCAAATGTATTCTTTCTCGAACTTCAAGGCAGTATCAAGGTAGTAAAAATAAACAAAGAGCAAAGAATTTGATTGATCAGCACTAATCAGCATTTCATATAATGATTTAAAATAAAACAATAAAAGAAAATCACAATCTCAATGTAGCAATATTATAAACAGCTTTAAAATATAACATATGCATAGCTTTGAATTTTCCCTGTGAATCAATGAGCTACACATAAAACTGCCTGCCATCTATTCAAAGTCAGTTACTCTACATATAAAAAATTTTAATGCATGTTGCATTGGAGCATCTTGCATTGATTTTGTAATCAATTAAAGTTCCATTTAACCATCACTGGATACCTGGAATCTATTCTTAGTAACTCATTTCACTACCTGTTTATGTGCTGAATTCAAATAACCTACTTCAGGTCCAAAATAACCAACTAGGAATATTGAAGAAGAAAAACAACCTACAGTAAGGCACCAAGATTTTGTCTAAAACCAAATGTTAATAAGAAACCTTCAGAATTGTGACATCAAGACAAGGCAGTTTAAAGGAATCTATCACATCCTCGCCTACAGGCAGTGTCCGGTAACGCTTCTCGTTGCTTGTTTTTCACTTCAGGTGTGGCAAATGGGTGACAGAACCAGAAGGAAGAACAATCCCAGGATTTGAAATCAGACTCAGCGTGTCTAACCCCCATTTCTAGCACTTCTCGGATCCTGCCATGACCGTGTCAGAGACGCAGCTGTTCCCCTCTGGTTCTGCTGCTGCCTTCTCAGAGGGGCGCTTTGGTCTGGGGGCTTGTTTGTGACGTGACCATTCCCTGCCATGATACGCCATGTTGACCCCACGCAGGGAAAGCTGAGGTTGCATTTCCACTGAAGTGGGATAGAAGCCTGGTTTGTGGGGAGGGAACTGCACGTGGCGGGGAGGAAGATGAAGGGAAAATTCTGGAAACAGGGCTTTTTTAGTCTTTGTTGACTGCTTTCAGACAGGAAAATGCAACTTGAAACACTACGTAAGCAAGGGTTTTGGTTAAAATTCCTGTCAACACTTCTAGTCAGCTGTACAAATCTAAAATCAAAAAAAGCTTTATCCTTAATGCGTCAGCAAACAAAGCAAAGCAATGAGATTTCTTTTGTGTTGCTTTACAATGACAAAGTATTGCCAGATTCTTCTTTTGAAACACAATGTAATGTGGTAGAAAGGTGTGTGCCTACAGAATATGACGATACCCAAATGAAGGGCAGAAGACACCGACTGATCTTTGTTCTGATTCCCCAATCCCCAGTCTCAACTCCTGGCTTCCAGGTAACAAAGCTAATTGTTCAGTGGGTGACATCAGAGATGGAGAGCAATGAGAAATTACTTGCAGATAAAATAAAGACTATGATGGTGGTGAGGGGAGACAATGCAAGTGACAACCAACAGAATTTCACAAAATTTCAAAGACCATCCCAGAAAAGAGATGGAGGAACAAGTGTTGAGTGGTAGGGGGAGAGACAGAAAACCAACAATTCAGAAACTAACACACTGATTTTTTCAAGGTTTTACAACAAATAAAGTATATGCCTCCAATTGTGAGGTCAGTCATATATCAAAGAAATATGTTCTGAACTCCCAAGCAAATCATATGGCAATGGTGATTATGGTATAATTTATAAGCAGGCTTTTGTCATGCAGAACTTGAACTAACAATAGGGGATGCTCTCATTTTCAGGGATACAAAGAGGTGTGTATCTGATTGCTTCCAAACACAGCTGGTCTAATGAGCCTCTGGAGCTGAGATCTCCTTTGTTTCCCTGAAGGACACACTTGTTTTGGGCTTGGAGGTATAGAACATTCACAAGGAAGCCCATATAAACACACAATCCATTGTTCCAAGCCCTTCCACATGAATATGTGAATTACAGCACCTGATGTTGACTACCATGTGCGTCACACAGTGGTCACTGAAGAGCACATAGTCTACCTTTGGAATTAAACTGTGTACCTTTGGGAAATTCCAAGAGTCCATATCCTAATTTACATGCAGTTGTTTACCCCCAACACTTCGGAATTAAAGCAGAAGGCGTGCATTAGAGACCTTTTCACTCTTCATTCTGATATTCCTTCTCTGTGCTTCTGGGTACAGTTATCCTTCCCAAACTGACACCAAACATACTACTGATAAGGATACTCGAGACCAAATCAGAAGGTCTTAAAGTAATATATCTGGCTGACATGAGTTAGATTATTTTTTGGCATTCTAATTAAGTTTGACTTAGATGAAAACTATCCTTAATTTCTATTACAAACACAGGTAAAAAAGATTTAACACTAACTTCATATTGTTCGCTCTGTGATAACTGATGGTGGGCTTTCTTTCTTTCAAAAATGAGGAAAAACAAATAAATCCAATAACTTAGTTGTACTACTGGGAAGCACACAGCATACCTGAAGGCTGGTTTACCCACTAGGTCCTAAAATAAGGCAGATGTATTTTTACTACTCATTTACAAATATCCTAAATATTCCTACCTATGAAATACTTAACTGCTTTTTCTTCAAATTGAGCTTCATTCTGATTTTTCACTGCAGTCTGACTAGTATCTTCCCAAGATAGAAGTTTAAACGGTAGCTTCGGCTGTTTAAGAGAAATGTGAGTTATGAAAAAGACTCATAAAACTCTATTATCTTAAAGTAATTGAAAGCACTGTAAGAAGTAATAGCTATAAAACAACACTAATAAGACTATAGTAATTTCAAACTAATTTTTACATTTCTGCATTTAGAGAAAAAGATTTCAAATAATACTTTTTTTTTTTTTTGACAGGCAGAGTGGACAGTGAGAGAGAGGGAGAGACAGAGAGAAAGGTCTTCCTTTGCCGTTGGTTCACCCTCCAATGGCCGCCGCGGCCAGCGCGCTGCGGCCTGCGCACCGCGCTGATCCGATGGCAGGAGTCAGGTACTTATCCTGGTCTCCCATGGGGTGCAGGGCCCAAGGACTTGGGCCATCCTCCACTGCACTCCCGGGCCATAGCAGAGAGCTGGCCTGGAAGAGGGGCAATCGGGACAGAATCCAGCACCCCGACCAGGACTAGAACCTGGTGTGCCGGCGCCGCAAGGCGGAGGATTAGCTTAGTGAGCTGCGGTGCCGGCCTCAAATAATACTTTTTAAATGGTCTCCAAAATAACTCCTTATCTAACATGAAGTCAAAAATTTGGAGGAACTTAATACTTAGAATTTAAAACATTTTACACTTCAGCATTAGAAATAAAGAGTAGTGATTCAATTCAAAGTGTTTTCAATTCTCTTTCCTTCAGAAAGACATCTCTGGAAGTAACTGATCCTAAGTTCCAAAGTCTAAGACATAAATGAATCAGTCAGTTAACTAGGCAGTTTTAGCCAGTAAAGAAAGTGACTGAACACTTAGAACCATAGCTGTGCATAACATAGCTTGGATGCAATGTGACTGGAAATTTAGGAAGATGTGATTAAACAAAACTACACTTTGTTTACATTTGCCAAATAATTTAAAAATCTACCAATATAAACATATTCCTCAAATCAAAAATATATTCTTCAAACTTGTGTCAGTCCTTCTTTTTAAAAGGCAAACATTCTTGAGAAAGATCACCTGTAACCCAGGTATCAAAGTCAAGGTAGGACAACAGGGTAAGTCCAGATAGACATCTGCTTTTATAATTCCAAAAGATAAAAAATGGCTTTCACAATTTTATTTGGTTGAAAAAAAAGTAAGAATAATATTTCAGGACCAGCACTGTGGTGCAGCAGGTTAAGCTGCTGCCTGCACCATATAAGTGCTGGTTCGAGTCCCAGCTCCTCCATGTCCAATCCAGCTCTCTGTTAAAGCACCGGAAAAAGCAGTGGAATATGGCTCAACGACTTAGCCCCCTGCTAGTCCCATGAAAGCCTTGGATGGTGTTCTAGGCTCCTGGCTTCAGTCTACCCCACCCTGGTCACTGCAGCCATTTGGAAAATGAACCAGCAGATAGAACCTCTCTCTCTCTCTCTCCACTCCCTACCCTCCAACCTGTAACTCTGCATTTCAAATAAACAAAAAAGAATAACTTTTTTAAAAAACATATTTTTAAAAAAGAATAATGTTTCATGATATAGAAATTGTATGCAATCCAAATGTCGGCATCCATATATACAGTTTTACTGAAATACAGCATCATCATTCGCTATAACTGTTTCCATGCTAAAATGCATGGTTGAGTTACTTCAAGAGAGCATAAGACCCACTAACTAAGTTAAAAATATTTAGAATCTGGCTCTTTACAGGAAGGACGGTGACCCCTGTTTCGAAGGGTTTCTTATCCTAAGAATTATTTCTTGTTTCACTGAGGTCACAGTATGGAAACTCTTTCTGAAAGGAAACAAGGCAAAAAAAAAAAAAAAACCCACACACTAAATAGGAACAATAAAAAATAGGAACTAGGCAATCTTCACTTAAATTTTAAACCTTAAACGATCCATAAGCATAAATATATTCACCTATAATAATATAATACATTCCTAAAACCACACAAGTATTTTCCTTCTATTCTTTACTTCTTTTTATGCACCATTTTCTTCCAATGTCTTTCCTTCCTTTATTTCTCTTTCCCTCCCTAGTACTTATTTATCTACTGAATTAATTTATCCATTTGCTCATCTTTATTGAGGCAAGCCATTATGTGAGGATTGAGTGCACACTTATCAACACTATGGCAAGGTCTCTGTGTTCATGGAGAAGGTCTCTTCATGTCTTCAAAAGAGAAGACAAAGACTTAAATAAAGAAAATACCCAGGGATTGTAATTTGAGGATGAGACTGAAGGATTCTGTTACATGCTGTGGTCAGATTAAGTCTCCAGGAAGAGGTAACATTTGTTCCAAATAAGGATGGGAATGGGCCAGTCATTCAAAGAGCAAAGGGAGAAAGTATTCCAGGAGAGGTGGCAGAAAATGCAAAGCTCCTGAAACAGGAAAGGGCCTACTTACATTCAAGAAAAAAAGGGGCACTAACGTGGTCATTCTTGCTGTGAACCAATCTGTCCCTTTAAATTATGAGTATCATAAATGTCAACACTATTTACTAAGAGTCCATTAAGGCCCAAAACTTGCACTGTGTACTTCTTTTCACATTTGTTCCTATTTTTTAAACTCACAACAATTCCTAATAGAGGATATTATTAATTTGTTCAATTAATACATTCTTTTAAATTAGAGAAAAATATATAAAGACATTAAATATGTTGAAATTACATCACACTTAAATGGCAGGGCTTGAATTATAATCCAATAAAAGCTGGATTCAATGGAATCTATACTAACTCTCAAATCCAAATTAAAGGTCATGCAAACACACACCCACACACATTCTTACACACATTTTGCTTTTTAATAATCCCACAAAATGGCATTAATGGAAATATCATATGCTGACAATGCAGTTTTATGAGCAAATAGACAATTTTTTTTTAACATCAGGGCTGTTTTGTGTTTGTATATAGCAGAGGACCGGGAAATCTGTGAAAACTGTTCTGCAGCCTTTTCCTTAAAATTTCCTTAAAATTACACATGTATGTACTTCCGAACTTCATTTTAAAAGAGGTCAGGTGATGGTTAAGAAATATACATCCTATATCAAAACATAATGTTTAAATAAAAACATTACTTGCACACATTTTTGCTTTTATTTCACTTTACACGCTGTACCAGGGATTATTTTACCATGTGGCTGCAACTCCTTAATTCTGGGTATGACATCTGGCCTGCTGAAGTGTAGGCAGTCAAAGCCATGGGGAAAATGACAGACGAAAGATTAAAGAAAGCAAAGACCTAAACTTAATTAGCTATGATATTGTGCAGTTAAATGATGTTTCTATTATTTTTCCAATTCTTTATATTGACAGAAGGAGTTTAGATTCATCACTAAGCCCACATATGGCCTCTTTCCCCTGACCTACATTTAATTTGTGACAAATTTATTAGTTATTTTCTAATAGCCAAGTAAGCACTATGGGCTATAATTACACCCAGAATGCAGTAAAGGCATGGGATCTCTTGGAGGTTAATATTTTCTATTTCACTTTATGAGCAAACACAGAAATATTACTAACACATTATATGATAGTTATTAACATGGTAATAAGCCTTCACACTTTTAAAACTAAACATTAAACTCTAAGAAATTAAATCTAGACTATTAAGTGTAACAGAAATTTTCAAAAATGAATTCATTTTAGAACCAATTTTTAAAAACAAAATAATCACTGATTACGATGACAAAAATACTAATATATAAGAAGAGATGTTTATTAGTCACTTTTTCAGCTCACTTTAGTGTTATCACTTTTGGATAATTTAAAATTTATGGAAACATTCTAATGTTGTTTTTAATTTCTGCCAGAATGTTTTGAACGTGGTTTAAAAAATGAAATCGAAGAAGCCTGAGGAGGGCTTTAATAACAACTTTCTTTGGTCTGTTTATTTAAAACATGATGAATAAGCAAAAAGGAAAGGTGCAGAATGGAAGAAGAAAAATTATCCCTGCTCCTTCCTGGAAGTGCCTCCAATGATTGGACTGTTCATAATTTTGCACTAGAAATGAACAGCTACCTTCACATGCTACTAGCCAAACATATATGATACCATGGTCCCAGCTGTCACAGGCATGTAAACCTGGAGTTTTAGGGCTCGTAAGTATTTACAGAGTTATAAAGAGGTAGTAATATTAAGTCCCAAGTAATGCTTGACTTAACTAATACATTCTAAAACTTGTGTAGTTTCTTGTAGGATTGTATTTGTGAGAAGGCACAGTGTCATCATTTTACCAAACTAAATGCATACTAAGTCTACTAATAAATCATTCTTACAGAAAAAAGGGGGAGAAGAGGGTAAGATCAGGAACTTAAACAAATCACGAAAAAAATGCTACTGAAATTCGGTTCTCCATAGCTCCTGAGATATTTCAGTACAAAAGCACAGAGGCCAAGTAGATGCAAAAATACAAGTACTACCTGTTATGTAAGCAAATCAGCTTTAGCATCCTTGTATCTATAAACTGAGAATACTAATATCTACCTTATAGGGTTTATTGCGAGGAATAAGTGGCAAAGATTGCTCTGTAGCTATTAATGTCATCATTAATGTGTCAGAGGTGATTCTCTTCTCTTTTGATAAACAGACAATTACCCTTTGGCACCAACATAGCACCATCCTGTCAGGAGTTAATGAAGGCTGATTAAGTAACTGTTAATAGACTGAATCACAGTACTAGCGAGTTTTCAAGACCCCAGATTAGGGAAATCTGCTGTAGTATTTGTTTATATTCTTGCAAATCAGGCAGAGAATGGGAGAAGAGAATGCCCTAGGAATGAGAACCATGGTTACGTTCATGATGTTTTATTAATACCTAGAACGTCTGAGGCTTGTTTTATGAGTCCATGGAAATTTGCTTCAAAGGCATTATTGCAGAGCGTTTGTTTCCCAATCTGTTGTTTTCTATGATTGCTATTTAGAATGCTGTCTTTCAAACCTCTCCTTGTTATCAGCAGATATAAGACAAAATGAATTAACGGGCTATGTGCTCAAAACTTGAGACCTATTTAGGGGTGCGATATGAGAAGTATA